CATGTTATATCAAGAGGGACAAAGAATAAAACAAAATATTAAAATCGAAATATATCCCGATATATTGTGTGAATATCCTTCTAGTATGTATATGTATATGTGTGTGTATATATATATATATATATATATGAAATAGATCAAATTAAAATTCTACTAATTAATATATTATATTTTTTTTATCATCTAATACGTTATTGATGATTTATATATATATATATATATATATATATTACGAAATATTATAATTGATTAATTTTCTTACATGTGTTTTTCAGTCATTTTGCATTTTTAATCAGCTAGTTTTTACCAATCATGATTAGCTTATCAGATAGTTTATCAACTCACATCTTACTTATCAGCTATTTTTCGCCAAATGTGTGATTAATTCATCAGTATCAACTAGTAACAACTAACTTATCAGTTATTTTGCCAAAGCCCTAGGAATATATAATTTTAAATGAGATTTTAATTAAATTTATGACCTCGTTAAAGTAAAAATAGATTCTCATACTTATCAAAAGGTCATGGATATAATTAAAATCTCATTTAAAATAGTTACTTGGACAAAAAGTTCATTTCCGACAACCTAACTGGCCCAAACGGAATCTGCCTCCAAAGACATCAATATGAGGGATCATTTTTTGGTTAGCTCACCGGGTGAGTCTAGCACAAGATCTCAAGATTGAACCCTAGATCTGTCTTGTATTTGGGTAAAATCATACTGCCAATTTACTAACTAAGCTACACGTCGAGGGCCATCTTCATAATTAATAGCTAATAAAATTCAAAAAATTTACAACTTTACATTATTTATAATCACACTTACATAATTTCATTCAAATACAAAGTATTACTAACTAAGAGGGTGTTTACTAAATGTTTACCCGGACAAGCACTTGACAAGTCCTTTACATAGCTTATGAGATGCTCTAAAAACCGAATCTGAACCTGCTTTTGTGAATTAATGTTCGAGTTCTACAAAAGAAAGGCTAATCATAACGTTGTTTCAGAATACTGAGTTAGTTTCGTTAAAAGAAATCAATTCACATACAACAACAATTTTGGTTTTGGGTTCGGATCAAATGCTCAAGATAGGCAGCATTCGCATGGCAAGAACCAAGAATCTAATTCGACAGAGGCATGACAAAGACCGAAAGTCTTACCTGATAAGCAAGGGTGGTGACTTTTACCCGATAGAAACTTACTACGTAAAATTGTTGTTTACTATGCCATTTTGATTGCCAAAAATCTTACCCAACAAAGTAAGTGAGGATGATAACCGGTACTTGCTAAATTATTGGAGTTCATCCAACCAAGGTATAATAAACTCTAAACCATGATCCACCCAATCATAATGCATCAACTTCAGAGTCTTAGGGGCCGTTTACCTAAACACTTACCCGGTAAGCACTTACCGGTAAAATTCAACACTATCGCTTACTTACCGAGTAACACTTTTTTCATTAAAACGCATCGTATGCAACAATTTATCCCTGTAAGCGCTAACCATGGTAAGAGTCCTCGTCCTCACTTACCGGGTAAAACTCTTGATTCTTGTCTTCGCTCTTAGCGGGTAAGATTTTTAGTCCTTGCCATATTCATCCATTAAAGTAAAGTGACTTAGTAAGTGCTTATCCGGGTAAGCGTTTGGTAAACGGCACCTTATCTTCATAAGGGTTCAAATCTATAAATCAAATATAGAGTGATGGAAGTAAATGCATGAGAAGCATAGATGTTATGATACATCAGCGCAAGGCGAAATACCAGTACCAGTACAGGAGCTCTTTCAGAGAAGGTTTAGCATATACAGCTTCGTTTCATCAAACACATGCATATGCACTTTAATGCAATCTGCAACGCCTTGGGGACCTGATAAACCGAAAAAGAAAGCTTTAAGCTTAATGGACTCAAAATTTACATGACGGGTAAAATAATAAATACGTCAAAAAATATGGTTAAGAGCATCCACAATAGAGCTTTTTGAAAACCTTTTCGGCCACCTAAGCTTGTGAAAAAGCTCTCGACAAAATACACCCTGCTTTTGCTTGTGTAGTTACCAGCTCTCAAAAACGCTTGTTTTTTTGCTGTTGGGTCCGCACTTTTTAGATAAAACTCCAAATACAGAAGTTCAACCGTTGTGGAAGCTCTAAAGTGAACCACATGAGCAAGCCCAGTTAGTCCACCATTGCTTAGCCTTTGAGTTGATGGATGACCATATATGCAAAGAACCAAAAGACCTCACTGCAGCCAGCATCATGGTTCCCAACTCTTTTTGCATCGAGTGTGACCTGAAAAAGCGAAGATCAATACTTTTGGAGTAGCAACGGGTTTATAAATAAACAACTCTTCATCATGATCATGGTTATGTTGTAGAAAACAAACCTGGTTATAAGAGAATCCAAAATGGTACAGCTAACCCAAGATCGTAGAGAATATTGAAGGTTGCGATTAGATCAACATGCCAATCTTCGTCCATTTGTGGCATTCGGTATGTGGATAATAAAAATACTCCCTCCCTCCCAAAAAAGGGTGCACAGTTCTATTTTAGTTTGTCACAAAATAAATGTCCACTTTTAAAAGTAAGTCTCTACTTTCCCATTATTATTGAGGGTAAAATTATCCATTACTTAATTAAAAAGTGTAACAATTTACACATTTGCAAAACTAAAACTGTGTGTCTTTTTCATTGTGGACATTTATTTTGGGACACAGGGAGTAGCATTCTACGCTCGACAGTCAATGGCATAATATTCTGAAAACCTCAATTGAACAGAGCACACAGCAGCAGTAGTACGCCATCAGCACCTACAAGAACAGAAGAAACTAAGAAAACAAGAACTTAATTGTGAGAGTATGCTTTTTTTTGGGGGGGCGGGGGAATTCCAACATATATTAAAGATAAAGTGTCAAAGTTTAGTCGACTAGGGATTGTAACACGTAGACGGGAAAAGATGTCCTAGAGTGTCATGTTATGTCCTAGATGGTGCTCTAATACCATATGAGAATGTGTGGAACCCCTAGATTACTCTCTAAAAAAGCCTTTGAAGAGAGAAGAGGGGTTCCAAAACATATATTGAAGAAAAAGTATCAACTCTAGCTAATGTGGACTCTACCATGCCCCCTCCAAGGGATGGTAGACAGACAAAGATGTGCAAAACGGTAGATCTTGACTCTTGATATCATGAGAATATGTGGAACCCCCAGATGACTCTCCCAAAGACCCCTTAAGGAGAGGAGGGTTTTTGACAATACCGTGTAAAGTTATGGAGTCTGATTAATTGGCAGTTGGGCCAAATATCAGAGAAAGGAAACTCTCAAGATTTGTGTCCGGACCACTTGGGAGTTTAACTTTTTTTCTTCTATAAATTTAATCTTATGTAATTGTAAACCCCAACCGTTAATATCAATAAAATCCCTACTAGTGTGGCCATGGACTAGCTTGATCAAACCGATCAAGTGAACCACGTAAAATCCTGTGTTCTTTTTTTTTTCTTGCTTTATCGTCGTTGTGTTCGTGTGAGTGATCTTGAGCATCATTTCCCAACAACTGGTATCAGAGCAAAGGTGAAAAAAAGAAGAAAATTCGGCAGCATATTCAGGCAACACGCAGTTTTGCCTATTCCCAGAGATTGAACGGTCGGATTGTCTGATTTTGGACAGTAGCTCCATAACATCAGGATCTATGTTTCCAACGGTTGGATCGTCGTTTGGAGATCCATAGGTCGTACAGTCTCTGTCGACCAGAAGACTGTTTTTTTCTAAGCAATGACAGAAGATGGAAAAGTAAAGATAGACAAGTTCGATGGCCACGATTTTGGATTCTGGAAGATGCCGATCGAAGATTACTTGTACCAAAAGAAACTTCATGAACCGCTGTCAGGAGCTAAATCAAAGAAGATGGAACAAGCCGATTGGAACCTGTTCGACCGTCAGGCATTGGGTGTGGTTTAGATTATCCTTAGCAAAGAATGTCGCATACAATATTGTTGGCGAGAAGACTACACATGGATTGCTGAAGGCGTTATCCAATGTGTATGAAAAACCTAGTGCTTCGAATAAGGTTTTTCTGATCCGTCAACTGCTGAATACGAAGATGAAGGAAGGAGCGTCTGTCACAGATCATGTAAATGAATTCAATTCAATATTGACAAGGTTAGCCTCTGTTGACATTAAATTAGATGATGAAGTACAAGTGTTGTTATTATTATCTTCTTTACCCGAGAGTTGTTCTGGCACGGTTACGGCGTTAGTAGTTCAACTGGAACTCAAGCTTACATTTGAAGGAATTTGATACTTGATTCTCGGAGAGGATATCCGTAGAATGAACTTTGGTGAAAGTTCGAGTTCCTTGCTAAGTGCAGAAGACAGGGGGCAAAAAAAAGGAAGAGGTTGATCGAAATCTAGAAAAAGAGGGCAATCGAAGAACAGGAAAGATATTACGTGTTAGAATTGCAAACAGAGTGGTCACTTCAAAACTAAGTGTACGGCAAGGCCAATCGAAAAAGGTGAGCAGGGAGTTAACGTAGCCTCTGAAGATTCTGATGACGCACTGATCTGTTGCGTTGACAGTCCAATTATTGAATCTTGGATTATGGATTTTGGGGATTCATTCCATGCCTCTCACAGCACGGACATGATGCAAAATTTCAAGGCTGAAAATTTTGGAAAGGTTCGGTTGGCAGATGATAAAACATTGGACATCAAGGGCATGGGTGACATAGTTACCAAAACTCCTCTTAGTACCGATTGGACGTTGAAGAACATGAGATACATTCCAGGTCTCAAGAGAATGTTGATCTCAGTTGGGCAGTTGGATGATCAGGGACATCACGTTGTCTTCGGAGACGATAAATGGAAAGTGGTAAAAGGTAATTTGGTTGTTGCCCATGGTTATAAGAAGGGGACTTTATACATGGCTGAAGTACCAACAAATGGAGTCAATGCAACTATGATGACATGGGGGGCTCTACATTGTGGCACCAAAGACTTAGGCACATGAGTGAGAAAGGTATGAAGATGCTAGCTTCAAAGTGTAAGATTTCAGGTCTGAATAATGTGGCAGTTGGTTTCTGTGAGCCTTGTGTTTACGGCAAACATAAAAAGATCACTTTTGCAAAATCAGGTATGACACGAAAATCTGAAAAGTTGGAGCTGGTTCATGCAGATGTCTACCGACCTACATCAGTTTCATCAATGGGCGGATCGAAGTACTACGTCACCTTCATCGATGATTCCACCAGAAAGAAAGGTATGTATTTATTTTCTGAAAAATAAATCTAATGTTTTTAATACTTTTAAGAAGTGGAAAGCTATTGTTGAAAATGAGACTAGCTTGATCAAACCGATCAAGTGAACCACCTAAAATCCTGTGTGTTCTTTCTTTTTTTGTTCTTACTATATCGTCACGGTGTTCGTGTAGAGTGATCTTGAGCATCGTTTCCCAACATAACGAAGATAAATTGTCCTAGTGATGTGGGATTCTAGCACGTCCCCTCCAACATAGGATAGATGGGCAAAGATGTCCCGAAATATCGAGTCCAGGGCAATGATGTCCCAGAGACATTGGCTCTGATACCATATAAGAATATGTGGAAATTCCCATATTACTTTTCAAAAGGGGCCATTGAGGAGAGAAGGTGGATTCCAACAGAAGTATCCAAATCATGCGAATGTGAGACTCTTAATGTTAATAATCGACTATATGCTTAATCTGGAAGAGCATAAATGTAGCAGAAGCCCAATGAAATTTACAATGTTGAGTGCTATGAATGAATAATCTGAGAGGAAATCTAAATCATAATAACTACCAACATTCTCTTCCTCCCTCCCTCATAACCATCACCAGATACATTATCATTAGCATAATCATCTGAAGACTTTAATGATTTGGTTATTGAACTTCCCTGGTTTTCGATTCTTTGGTGACTTAATCAAGCATTAAGCATCATAAATGTTGATGAAAATGATGACGTGGACAAAGTACAGTGGTTGATTTTGCAACAGATGAAATAAGAAGCTTGATTTTACACAATCGAGATTAGAGATAAAGAGTGCAATATCCATGGCAGCCTTCTGTCTGATTTCCAAACCTTCCCACCAAAGCCACCTCCAACAAGCACCAAGGTGCTATAAAACAGTAAATTACAATCAAAACCAACTGAACCCAATATATCCCACTTGAAAACAGATTTTGGGAGTGTAGGATTTAAGGTATTGATTAATATATTACAATGAACACTTCAATCGAGGATCTTAAATTCTTAAGAATCTGTGGCAGGACACTGGTAGTCTTTAAAATGATGCCATTGCAGTGGTCAAATTAGCATCATCGGCTTCAATGAATTCAACCTTAAATATTCAATTGTGGTTAGGATGATTAGTAGAAGGACCAGCCATACATGCTTATAGTTCCCCTGATTTTTTCCTTCATTTGGATGCAAGTTAGCATAGCTCATGCACATTTAGGTAGGGAGCACTTCAACGGCGATATTTTGGCAAAAGAAATGTATATTGCTCAACAGATGCAAATTGCACATATATACCTCAGTTACTTGTGGAGAAAAGGAATTATAAAAACACGAAAACAGTAATATGAGCATTAGAAAAGAAATTCTCAAAAGAAAAAGAAAACAAAAAGGACTACCTGTACCAAGTTTAGTACTAGTGCAACCAAGTTCTCTCCCCGTTCATCTTTTTGATCAATATTCAATAACAAAGTATAGTTTCACGGGGAGAAAGAATCTTCATACTTAAAATAATTACATTGTTACATCCCACTGAACCCCTACAACTTCGAGCATACAGGGAGAGCCCTTAAAAGTAAGCTATCACACTATTGAAAATTCCAACAAAAAATGAAATGAATCAAATCATGGTGAGAGGACATACTTTTTTAACCGTGAGTGTCTGATCCAGCTTGCACGCACCTCTACTAATCCCAAGCAGAGCCCTGAAGATAACAGTTGGAGAAATGCCCAATGCCCTTGAGGAGAGTCGAATTGGTAACCTATGGGGTTTCTTGGAAATTAGCATTCAGCATTCAGTGCTTAAAAGACTATAGGCTGCCACACTATGAAGTCTCTTGGAAACTAGCATAATCTCGGTTCATAAATAGTTCAAGCCACTTCTTTGGAGCAGCCGGGTGAATTCTATAAATACGAGCAATAAAGCGCACCTCACTAGTGGCAACAATGCTAGCAAGGGAATACTCTCTTTCACACAAACCGGTTTCCATAAGCCACATGTGAAATCTGTATCGGGGCTTTATTCTTTTCTCTAAGTCAAAGCAGAAATATGCTGGAAAGATGTCAAGATAGTTCAAGGAGGAGCCAATTTCGTGGCAAAGGAATTCAACTTTCTTCTCAAGGATTTCTGATTGTTGATTTAAAATCTTTGGTGACAAACTAATCATCTTACATAGCTTTGAAAATTCAATTCCGTTATGAATTAAGCAATCAAATCGGTCCTGTAACTGTCTACTGGTACCATGAACGTGTTTCAACACTTTTACAGTGAAACCATTCTCTCCGTATCCAATACTATGCAAGAATTCCAACTTACTTAAAGTGTGATTGTGGACTCTAGAAGATTGAATCGTCACCATGTCTTCAGCAAAATCTTGATCGCAATCTTCATGAGAACTGCCAATGGCATAACTAGTTAATAGATTATGACCGCCATCTCTTATCTTATCGAAGAACCATTGATTAAGATTCAGAGCTCTCATTACATGTGGAAGATTAGCTAGCCGATTTCTACCAAAAACATAAGGGTACTTCTTAATGACAAAATTCAAGTGTTCTTCAGACAACCCAAAGTGTCTTAGGAGTCCCACAACACAAAAAAGCGGACTTTTTAGATCAAATTCAAAGATTTTAGGTCCCAAAAGGAGTAAAGATGTGACCTCCTCATTTGTAACATGAAATCTACAAAAGTACTTGAGTTTTTCGGTTAAAGTTTCTTCCGGACATTGTACCAAAATCTTTTTACTTCTACCCATCATCTCCCATATGTCAAGTTTCCTGCAACCCAAGTCATAAAACATCCGAATCTTTCTACAAATCTCAATCCAAGCATCCACATTGCCCTCCACATCACTTATCAAATCAAAATCTATGACAATCCTCTTCAAATCATTGAAAAGTATCTCAACTTCACTATCCCCACTCAATAAATGAGGAAAAACCAAGCAAATCCCAATTAAAGATGAACTAGTGAACCCACAATTCATATACCTCCTCCAAATTTCCTTTAATTCACATGGGTCCTTATCAAAAATTGTTTTTTCTTCTTTATACAGCATTCCCAATTTATTCCAAGGAATCCCAAAACCGTAAAGCACACAAGCAGCATCAAACGCATTCAGATCTTCCGATAAAAAGAACTTACGAGCAGGCAAAAACCCATCAAGTTCATTAACATCAATGCCAATACTTTCAAAGAATAACTCAAATTCGTTAAGTGGATGGTACCTGAAGAACCTCTGCAAGGATTTGGAAAAATCTGATGTCGAAAATTTTACTTTAGATATAGCACCAGATAGGGAGACGATAGAGTACTTGCTGATGTTCTCCGCAAATGTGTAAGGTATAGTCCTGACGGCATGGAGGTAGTCTGTAAGGGCTTCTTGGGCTTGTCGGATGGCTTTGGCTCTGTATCTGTGAGGTATTTTTGAGAGAGATTGGAGGTTTTTAGCGGCGGAGGAATGGTGGCGATTGGTGGGGTAAGAAAGGATTGTACGCCGGAGAAGCATCATGCTTTGTTGAGTTCGACCCCAATCAGGGTTCTAGCTTTACACAATTTAAGGAGCAGATGATTTTTACACAGAATCATTAAAGCGGTCAGAATGACTAAGACGTCTTGACAGAGTACAAAATAAAATATAATTATTGATAATTGTTTATAATGAAATTAAGGCTCTTAATGATTAAGGAAGATCCATGATATAAAATCATTCAGAGGATTTTAGAACCATTAAGAGGTAGATTTTTTTTTGCCAAATAAGATTCACCTCTTAACGATTCAGAGATTGTCTTTTAATGGAACTATTAAGACGTAAACAAACAACCCCTACGACTGGATTAGATGAATTAACAAGGGAGTTTTGTTCAGGGTTCATCACTAAAATATATATCTTTAACCATCTTTTATGGGTTTTATCCCAAGGCTATGTTTTGCAAACCTGTATCCGATAACCTAACTGATGAATAAATTATGTTTGGTAAAATTAATTAATGAATAAATTATGTTCTTTGGCAAACTGGTAGCCGATAAATTAGCTGATAAATAAGTTATGTTTGGCAAAATTAGCTGATGAGCAAATTATGTTTGGCATAATTAGCTGATGAGCAAATTATGTTTAGCAAAATTAGCCGATGAGAATGTAACATGACCAAAAAGGGTATTTTGAAAAATAATCAATTATAATATTTTAAAATATAATTGAAACTGTGATAACCGGATCTTGGTTATCATTTGAGGTAACTAATACGTGATTATTTTATATGTTTACGTGACAGTATGATAAACTGATATATTTGATCATGAGAGTATGTGAAATTTTTATGCATAAGAATGTATGCATAATGTGTGAATATCAGGGACGGACCTAGAATTTTTTTTAAACGGTGGCACCATTTGACCATAAGAAAAAAAATATAGGAAATTTTTTTCAAGCGGTAACACTGTTTGACTATAAGAAACAAATATACAGATTTTTTTTCAAATGGTGGTACCGTTTGACTAAGAAAATGACACTAACATGATTCGAACTTGGATGTGGGGTGAAATAAAAGCCTTGCAAACCAACTCTACCAAATAAAACTTGTTCTCATTATAGTTTCAAAATACATACGGTGACACACAACAAATTAATACGGTTGCACCGTTCACGAAACCTAAATTTTTTACCCTTCGGTGGAGAAACGATATGGTGGTGCGTGCCACCCATGGCACTTAACTAGGTCCGTCTATGGTGAATATGCATGATTGAAATTTGTATATGCATGATATGTTTTTTATGCATAAAATTGGTTCATGCATGGGTAAATATGCATGGGCATGCATACATGTAAGGGGTTGTTGAACCACCTTACTTATTTTAGAAAAGTATATATATGAGGGTGAGGCCCTCATACCCATTTGGATATAAGGGTGACATATCAAGGAGAGGTGTACCATGGGATAATTGTGACATATCAAGGAGAGGTGTACCATGGGATAAGGGTGGCATATCAAGGAGATGTGTACTTTTGGATATAAGGGTGACATTTGTATGTGTGATATGTGATATAACTCTTACTATTATATCTTCTAAGATTACTGTGATCTGGAATCTTTACTTCTTTGTGAATTAAAGGTTGATGATCAAGATTCTTATTGGAAATTGTAGTCTGGATGTTATTGAAAAGGGGGTAACAGGTTTATGGCCTGAAACTTTGAATAAACCTTGTTTTAATTAAAAAGGTTTAAAAGTGGCATTAAGAGAAACCTGGTTGGTACAAACCTATTTGGGTTTAGATGTGTTATTTAAGCCGAGAGATTGGCTTTGGAATTGGAAAGGTATTGGTATTATGTTTTACTTGTTCATATATTGTTATATATATGAAAAGTTGTTTTAAATAAAGTTTTGGGGATTCTCACCCTGCAATAACATAAAAAGGGAACTCACTAGACCTTTTGGTTTTAAATGTGTGTTGCGGAGGTGCGAACGGTAAGGGGAAGGGGAAAATGTGTATTTTCCTATATACATATCTGCATGAAGATTTGTCTATGATATGTATAGTTTTGATAAGATGAACGTTGATTAATACAAGAAATGTATTTTGAATTTTTGGTCTATGTATTATGTATAATAGAATCTTGTACTATGGGACCTGAGTGGTGTATAAACATGTATTTCTTATTTTTGAAGTATGTGTTACATGCAATGTGTGGTATGGGGTGTTACAGAAAGTGGTATTAGAGCCTGAGTTTAAGGGATTTAGGTATTTAACAGCATGATACCTAGACTTAAACTATTTCATTGCATGTTAAGGGTCCCGTACATATTTAGCACCATTGGAAATAAATATGATGAGTTAAAAGAACATTATGTAAGGTAAATTTTAATTACATCTGACCAGTGTAATTATGAATTTATAGGTACATAACTGGACTTGAATACTTTATTATATTTGGGAATGTGAATACGTGATCATTGACATTAAAATCTGCAGATGTCTAGCCAAACACGGAGATCTGAGAGAATGGCTCATCATGAGTCCGAGGAAAGGAAGGAATCACCCGTTAATCTTCCAACAAGTACTTCTGTAAATAGAGGTCGGGGAAGACCAAGGGGAAGAGGCAGAGGGAGAAGCCAGACACAGGGAAGAGGTCGAGCTGAAACACATTCTGAGCATGAAGAATCCCATTCTAGGAATGTTCAGGAGGAACCAGTGCCACATCCTGAATACATAACAAGAGACATGCTGGCAGAGGAAATAGGGAAATTAAGAGAAACCTTGACATCGATTATGGGAATACCGGCCAGGGTGGAAACGGAAAGAGTGGAAGTACATCCCTCTGTTCCAGTAACTCATAACAAGGAAGGAGACATCAAGATGTTCCTGACCTGTAAACCGCCAACTTTCTCTGGGGAAAGAGATCCAGCTAAGGCTATGTGCTGGATTAAAGAGATCGAATCCGTGTTTAACACCATTAGGTGTCCAGAAACCGGTAAAGTTTGATTTGCTGTATCTGTATTGAAGTCCAATGCTTTGTTTTGGTGGGAAGTTTAGGTATTCACATGCATGATGCCTAGACTTAAACTGTTTTATTGCATATTAGGGTCCCAAACATAGTTAGCACCTTTGGAATAAAATATGATAAGTTAAGAGATCAGTGTGTAAGGTATTTTCGGATTACATCTGGCCAATGTAATTTTAAATCTACAGGTACATAACTGAACTTGGACACTTTATTATATTTGAGAATGTGAAAATATGCTTATTAATTTTGAGTCTATAGATGACAAGTAGATCTAGAAGGTCAGAAATGATCACCCGCCCCAAACCCACTAATGAAGAAGAGGATTCTCCTATTCTTGCTCCTATTGGTACCTCTAAGGGCAGAGGTAGAGGCAGAGGCGGAGGAAGGGGCAGAGGCAGAGGTCAAGGCAGATGACAGACCAGAGGCAGAATAAATCAGCCAGAAGTTAATACAGATCAGGCTGAATCTAACTCAGAAAATATGAACCAAGAACAGGTACCACAACCATAATATGTGACTAGAGATATGCTTGCTGAAGAAATGAGAAAACTAAGGGAAACCTTGACTTCCATTATGGGGATTCCTGCCAAAATCGAGACTGACAGAGTTGAGATTAATCCAGCCGTTCCAGTTGTCAATAATAGGGAAGGAGATATAAAGATGTTTCTGACTTGCAAACCACCAACTTTCTCGGGAGAAAGAGAACCAATTAAAGCTATGTGTTGGATTAAATAAATAGAATCAATGTTCAACACCATTCGATGCGCATAATCAGATAAAGTCAGATTTACGGTGTTTGTTTTGAAGTCAAATGCATTATTTTGGTGGGAGGTAGAATCATTGGCTAGAACAGATATTTTGCAAACCATGACATGGGCAGAATTTGTGAATAGATTCAAAGAGCAGTTCTGTCCCAAAACAGCAGTCAGGCAGATGGAAGAGGACTTTTTAAACCTGGAACAGTGCTCTGGGTTAGTAAGAGAATACACAGAAAAAATTTATAGAGTATTCTAGATTCGCTGAACATTACATCTCAACAGAGGCTAGAAAAGTGGAGCGGTATATCTGGGGTCTAAAGCCCTCCATCAGAGAATTTGTTATAGCAATGAATCCTCTACTTTTCCATTGGCAGTAGATGCAACAGAAATCACCGAGAGAAACAAGAATAGAAGCGAAGAAAGGAAGTAAATCGAGAAAAGGAAATGGGAGGGGTCCTCAGCAAGTTATCGAGAATTAAAAACTGTCAAACCTAATAATAAATCAATGCAGAGACCAATGGAAAGAGCCTGTCCCCTGTATCGACAATATCACCGAGGATAATGCAGAATAGAGCCAATAAAATGTTTTAATTGTGGCAAAATTGGGCATACTTCGAATTTTTGTCGACAAAACAGAAAATGTTTCCATTGTAATTTGCCAGACCATTTCAAGAACAATTGCCCATAGTTAAAAGCTCCACAGCTCACTATGGGAAGCAATACATTGACTGGCTGTGGGAGACCAAGTATGGGCAGAGGATCGGGTGGGGCGCGGGGACGATCTTTTCAAATGACCAAACACAAAGCAGATCCTATACCCGATGTAGTAACAGATACTTTTTCTGTGAATTCATTACATGCTAAAGTATTGTTTGACTCGGGTGCAAACTTCTTGTTTGTCTCCCCATCATTTGCCTTATGTTCTCAAATGAATTCTGTGCCTCTTGACGAAAAGTTAGCAGTTGATACTGCTAATGGTCAAGTATATGTGAATAATGTATTCAATAACTGCACTATTATGATTGAGGGATATGAGCTACCCATCAGATTGTTTCCCATGCCTATGAAAGATTTTGATGTAGTAGTAGGAATGGATTGGTTGGCCGAGAATCAGACCAACATTGTTTGTGATAAGAAGATGATTATAATAATATTGCCAGACAGAGGGACAATTGTTATTTATGGTGATCATCAGAGTCATCGCACCAGTTTGTTATCAGTTATGAAAGCCAAAAAATGTATTCAA